TCACACAGTAATTGTACTCTAAAATAAAAATTTCACCTGTAGAATTATCACACACATCTTGAAGAAGGAATATGCAAATTACAGGAAAACACCAGATGGCGTGGATAGTACGTCACAATGACGAGTGTAAGGAAGGGGTATATAAGGAATGGTGGCAAAGAAGTAAAATTGTTCACAAGCGCTTTAAAAGCCTTTCAGTGCAATAACCGCATAGTTATGGCACAAGGCGCTGTTGGATGATTTTTACTTGGTAGAATGATCCGGACGACTGGAATGTTAACGTACCCAGCTGGAAGTATCAGAGGAACTTGGAATCGCCCAGAGTGTCATCTCCAGGAATTGGCAGTGATTTCAAGATGATGGTAATGTCAGTAGATGTTACAGCACAGGTCGCCCCCGAGTTACAACGCCGAATGAGGACCGGTATTTAGCAGTTACTGCCAAAAGAAACAGACGGAGAACAGAATCAGACCTGTCTCGTCAGCTCTCTTCAGCTCCCGGTACGACAGTTTCAAAGCAGACCGTGTACAGACGCTTAGGGCACATTGATCTATATGCTCGTAGGCCTGTCAGATGTGTTCCACTTACCGCAACTCACTGTCGCCTGCGATTAACCTGGAGTAGAGACCATGTATTGTGGGCACCGCAACAGTGGTCTGGTGTGATGTTTTCCGACGAGTTCAGGTTTAGTTTGCTGTCTGATTCTCACCGGACTCTCATATGGAGAGCGCCAGGTACCCGTTACCACCAAGAAAACACCATTGAACGATACCGTTACGGTGGTGCAGGATGGCTGGTTTGGGGAGGAATTATTCTTGGTTCCAGAACTGACCTGCATGTTCAGAGTGTAACGATGACAGGCCAAATCTATCGGGATGTCATTCTGGAACAACATGTACGTTTGTTTCGGGGCGCCATGGGTGCTGAATTTCTGTTTATGGATGATAACGCCCGTCCTCACCGTGCAAACATTGTAGACGAATGCCTTCAATTGGAGGATATCACCCGCATGGATTGTCCAGCATGCTCACCAGACTTGAATCCAATAGAGTATGTGTGGGATATGCTTGGCCGACGAATTGCAGCCCGCCAACCCCCTCCCACCTGTCAACCGGAACTTCGGAGGGCATTGCGTGATGAGTGTTGTAATATTCCCCAAGATCAGATTGATAATTTGATACTCAGCATACCTAGGCGTTCTAAGGCCTGTATTGCATCGTCCGGGAGACATACTCCATATTAACCATCATACTAACCATGTTATACTGTTTTTTGTAAATAGGTTCTTTTTTGAAATTTGCTCCAGGGAGTAAAAATCGCAATTTTTATTAATTATGTCAAACATATAGCATCTTATTTGCTCTTCACCTTTTGTTTAATAAATAGACTTTACAAATAAGTCAAATTTGTTTTGCTTCTGTCGCTTTCTTTGCCTGAACTTCATTATCCTTAATTTATGGACATGAGTGTAATTCAACTAATAAATATACTTATACTATAAATGATTGGAAATTCCTTAAAGATATTCTGAAAAGATGTTGAAAGTTGAATCATTATCTGAGACGTCGAAATATATTTTGAATATATGTAGATATAGAACTATAAAGTTCGAAACTTTGGCAAATAGAACCAGAAAATACACTAGAAATTTCTAATACTAACGCGGGATAAATATTTGTTTTAATAGGAAACTTCCTTCTTTTGAGACTATATTTTTCGCGATTATTGCATCACTTTAAAAACTTTAACTTCTTTTGTATTTAATTAACAGCTTTAATATATTATGTGTCTTCTAGTTGTAATTATCTTTTAATGCTTATAAGACAGTGAAGAAATATGAAAAGATATAATTTTATTATACTCTTCTAAAAATATCCTTTCAAAATTCATTGGAATCCATTCGATCACGCCCATAAATTTTTTTCTCTGAAGCTAAACGTAGCCATTGTTTGTTGAAGAATTTCATGCTTTTTCATGTTCAACAACTTTACCAATTGATTGGAATATGGAGCTTACACAAAATAATAAGGAATTTCGTCGTTTTGTGTTGAGAAATAAGAGCTAAGAAAATACAACAAATAAGAAAACTAAACGTTACAAGGCGAAACTAATCAGACTTCTTACCCTGCCTTGTATACAATGAAGGCAAAAGGATTGTCCTGTGGGACCCAAATTGCTTAGTTTTTCCCATATTGAAAATAAAACTTAGAGAATGATTTCATAAATTCCATCAATCCTCGTTTATTTAAGGGGGAGGGGGGATTCTTCATACCAGGCAAAGGAATTTGCTTCGTTGGTGTGTCCCGTTTACAATGGCATCATGGAACGGAAATTCTTTTTCCATTTTCTTTCTCTTTTTCGTTATCGTCTTCAGAGATTCTATCGAATACCTTGTTTTGTTAGAAAGTGTAGAGATAAAAAAGAAAGAAGAAAAGAAAAGAAAAAAAAATTGTTCCAATTGACACGGTCTCGGCGAAGCGAAAAGATAAAAATTCAGTACTATTTCTGGAGTTCTTTTATATTTTATCTGTTCTTGTTTTTTTGGGGGATCGTTCGATTTGACGTCGTTCACGTTGAAAAACGACTTTCTGACTGAAGACGCAACCCGGTTTCCGCGGATACGAAATCAAAACTCAAACATAAGAATTTCAAATCAAGCATTTTTATCGACACTTTTTTTAAAAATGTATAGATTTTCAGCCGATTTATTTTTGAACAAAAAAATGACAAAACTTCATATTATAATTTCAATACTTTATATTTTTTTTGGTTGCTTCTATTAATTTTTTTTTAAAGGAAGTAAAAATAAAGCAAATATTTTGAGAATTTGAAAATAAATTGATTGGATAATAATAGGATTTTAAATATTGTTTCCGACCCTGATGCCCGAGTGACTTACGCTCTGGCGATCAGTGCCACAAGTTCGATTCTCGGAGGTGCCATTGATGCTTGTAATGGTTTGGAATCCACTTTAGATAACAGGTTCTGTTCTAATACTACTACTACTACACCACACCACACCACTGTGCCATAAGCGAAGTTGCCCTTTTACAGTTTGGGAATGATGTGGGTGAAAAGAAGTCTGATTGGGCTCTGTGACGCTCTACTGTCATAGGAGAACAGGACATACGGCTTAAAGTGGATACAGAATCATTATAACCATCCATGGCAACGCCGGGACACGAACCCAAAACCTGGGGTACCGAGCGCCAGTCACTCGTACAACAGGCCCCTTCTTTTGAGATTATATTTTCAACGATTAGTACATCACATAAAAAATATAACTTTTTTTTGTATTTAATTAATTTGATGACGGTTTTAATACCTTGTGTGTCTTCCAAATGTAATTATCCTTTAATACTTAAAAGCAGTGAAGAAAAAGAGAAGGATATCGTTGTCCTTATTTTATTATAACCTTCTAAAAATTCCCTTTCAAAATTACATTGAAATCCCTTCGATCATGACCATAAGTTAATTTTTTTTTCTCTGAAGCTAAACATAGCCATTGTTTGTTGAAGAATTTCATGTTTTTTCTGTTCAAAAACTTTGCCAATTGGTTGGAATAAGGAGCTTATACAAAATAATAAGGGATTCCAACGTATTGTACTGAGAAATAAGAGCTAAGAAAATACAACAAATAAGAAAACTAAACATTACAATGCGAAACTTATCAGACTTCTGTTGTTGTTGTTGTTTCTTATCCCACTTGGCTGGCCAAGCCCACGAGCCCATACGGGCTCATGATTGAAGGGGAAGGAAGCAGCTTCTGTTGTGATGGAGCACCCCGTAGGTAGAAGTCTGACTTTGGCTCCGTGACGCTCTTACAGTCATAGGAGACCAGGACCTACAGCTTAAAGTGGATTCCGAACCACTACAAACATCTATGGCACCACCATGGACCCGAACCCGAAACCTGTGGCACCGAGCGCCAGAGCGCTATACACTCGGCCATTCAGGTCCCAAATGTGTGAATGCCAACGGCACGCGGTGTTCCCAGGTGGTCACCCACCCAAGTACTGACCGCGCCCAATGATGCTTGACTTCGGTGATCTAACGAGAACCGGTATATTCAGCACGGTATCCTTGTAGACTTCTTATTCTGCCTTGTATACAATGAAGGCAAGAGGATTGCCCCGTGGGACCCAAATTGCTTAGTTTTTTCCCATATTGAAAATAAAACTTGGAGAATGATTTCATAAATTCCATCAATCATCCTCGTTTATTTAAGGGGGAGGGGGATTCTTCATATTATTGAAACTGAAATTATTCTACCGTTATTATAAAATTGAAATTATTTTTTTTAAGAGGTTTTCTTTTATTAAATAAACTTCTTTTTTATTAAATAAACTTCTTTTTCAGTCATTATTGCACCACATCAAAAATGTAACTTCTTTTGCATTTAATTAATTTGGTGACAGTTTTAATACCTTATGTGTTTTCTAGTCCAAAATGCGGCCTGATGGCCCAATGGCTAGCGCACTGACCGTTGGTACCGAAGGCTTCAGGTTCGAATCTCGGAGGTGTCATAAATGTTTATTGGTGGTTCGGAATACACGTTAAACTGTAGGTCCCGGTTTATTTAGCCTAAAGTGTAGTAGATGGCAGTCTAAAGATGACGGTAGAGCACCAAACCAAATATAGTTGCAATTCATCTTTAATGCTTAAAAGACAGTAAAGAATGATGAAAAGATATCATTTATTATACCCTTTCAAAATTCCATTCGATCACGCTCATAAGCTAATTTTTTTTCTTCTCTCAAACTAAACATAGTCATTGTTTGTTGAAGAATTTCATATTTTTCCTGTTCAACGACTTTGTCAATCGGTTGGAATAAGGAGCTTATAAAAATAATAAGGAATTTCGACGTGTTCTACTGAGAAAAAAGAAAACTAAACGTTGCAAGGCGAAACTAATCAGACTTCTTACCCTGCCTCGTATACAATGAAGGCAAGAGGATTGCCTCGTGGGACCCAAATTGCGTAGTGTTTCCCCATATTGAAAATAAAACTTAGAGAATGATTTCACAAATTCCATCAATCCTTCTCGTTTATTTAAGGGGGGAATATATTCTTCATGCCAGACAAATGAATTTGCTTCGTTGGTGTACACCGTTTACAATGGCATCATGGAAAGGAAATTCTTTCTCCATTTTCATTCTTTCTTTTTTTTTTTATCGTCTATCGAATACCTTGTTTTGTTAGAAAGTGTAGAGATAAAAAAAAAAGAAGAAAAAAAATGTTCCAATTGACACGGTCTCGGCGAAGTGAAAAGATAAAAATTTGCTAGTGCTATTTCTGGAGTTCTTTTCTATTTTATCTGTTCTTGTTGTTTTGTTCGATTTGACGTCGTTCACGTTGAAAAACGACTTTCTGATTGAAGACGCAGCCCTGTTTCCGCGGATACGAAATCAAAACTCAAACATAAGAATTTGAAATCGAGCATTTTTATCGACACTTTTTTAAAAATTTATAGATTTTTAGCCATTTTATTTTTGTAAATGACAAATCTTTATATTCCAATTTCATTTCTTTATGTCACATATATTTCTTGCTTTAATTAATTTATGTTTTTAAAGGAAGTAAATATAAAGAAATATTTTGAGAAACTGCAAATAAATTTAGGATTTTAAATATTGTTTTGGACCCTGATACCCGAGGGACTAGTGCTCTGGCTATCAATGCCGGATAATGCAAGTTTCGGATTGGAGTCTAGGAGATGCCATTGATGTTTGCAAACTGTAATAAAAATCTTTTAAATCCGTTATTATTAAGACTGAAATTATTCTTGTTCGTTATCATTAAAACTGAAATTGTTGTTATTCAAATACAGCGGGCAATACAGCGACAGTTAATCTGTATGCCATAAGTAAGGGCTGCGCCACTGTTACTCGTTTAAAACTAGCCAGGGGACACGTGTAGCGCGAAGATATGCTACTTACACTAGTAACATTACCCCCACAACTCTCTACAATCATATTAATGCGAGATCTGCGGTTTAAAGTGAAATTCCAAACCACTACCAACATCCATGTCACCGCCGGGATACGAATCCGAAACCTAGTTAGAGTTTTAATATCTTATGCGTCTTCTAAATCTAATTATCGTTTAATGCTTGAAAGATGAAAATATATCATTTTATCATACCCTTCTAAAATTCCCTTTCAAAATTTCATTGGAATCCATTCGATCACGCCCATAAGTTAATTTTTCTTTCTTCCAAGCTAAACATAGCCATTGTTTGTTGAAGAATTTCCGGTTCAAAAACTTCGCCAATGGGTCGGAATAAAGAGCTTATACAAAATAATAAGGAATTTCGACGTATTGTACTGAGAAATAAAAGCTAAGAAGAAATACAACAAATAAGAAAACTAAATGTTGCATGGCGAAACTAATTAGACTTCCTACCCTGTCTTGTATACACGGAAGGCAAGAGGATTCCCCAATGGGACCCAAATTGCTTAGTTTTTTCCATATTGAAAATAAAACTTAGAGAATGATTTCATAAATTCCATCAAACCACCTCGTTTATTTAAGGGGGGATTCTTCATACCAGACAAAGGAATTTGCTTCGTTGGTGTGTACCGTTTACAATGGCATCATGGAACGGAAACTCTTTCTCCATTTTCTTTCCTTATTTCTTTTTTTTTTTATTGTCTTCAGGGGCTCAATCGAATACCTTGTTTTATTAGAAAGTGTAGAGATAAAAATGAAAAGAAGAAAAGAAAAAAAATGTTCCAATTGACACGGTCTCTGCGAAGTGAAAAAAATAAAAATTCGCCAGTGCTATTTCTGGAGTTCTTTTATATTTTATCTGTTCTTGTTGTTTCGTTCGATTTGACGTCTTTCACGTTGAAAAACGACTTTCTGATTGAAGACGCAGCTCGGTTTCCGCGGATACGAAATCAAAACTCAAACATAAGAATTTCAAATCAAGCATTTTTATCGACACTTTTTTTAAAATTTATAGATTTTCAGCAGTTTTATTCAGCAGTTACAAAAAAAAATGGCAATACTTCATATATAATTTTAATACTTTATTTTATATATATTTTTTGGTTTCTTTAAATAATTTATGTTTTTTAAAGGAATTCAAAATAAAGCAAATATTTTGAGAAATTGAAAATAAGTTGAGGATTTTAAGTATTGTTTTGGACCCTAATATCTGTGTGACTAGTGTTCTGACGATCGATGCCAGATGACGCAAATTTTGTGTTCGAGTCTCGGTGTTGCCATTGATATTTGCAAACTTCAATAAAATAATTTTAACTCTGTTATTATTCTTTGAAGATGTTTCCTTTTATTAAATAAACATCCTTTTTGAGATTATGTTGTTATTGTTCTAAAGCAACTGGCAATACAGAGGCAGTTCCTCCTTATGCCATAAGCTAGGGCTGCACCGCTGTTACTAATTTAGGACTACCCAGGGGGCACATGTAGCTTGAAGATATGCTACGGACGCGACTAACATTACCCCTACAACGCTCTACGATCCTATTAATCCGGAACCTACGGTTTAAAGTAGATTCCGAACCAATCCAAACATCCAGCGAGATTTTAACCCGAAACCTGTAGTACCGAGTGTCAGAGCGCTAGCCACTCTTCCATAAGGCCCCTCCTTTTGAGATTATATTTTCAACGTTTATCACACCACATGAAAAATTTAACTTAGTTCGCATTTACTTAATTTGGGGACAGTTTTAATACCTTATGTATCTTGTAGTTGAAATTATATTTTAATGCTTGAAAGAAAGTAAAGAAATATGAAAAGATAACATTTTAATATACCCTTCTAATAATACCATTTCAAAATTCGTTGAAATCCATTCGATAACGCCCATAATTTTTTTTCTTTGACGCTAAACATAGCCGTTGCTTGTTGAAGAATTTCATATTTTTCCTGTTCAACAACATCGCCAATTGGTTGTAATAAGGAGCTTATACAAAATAATAAATAATTTCGACGTATTGTGCTGAGAAATAAGAGCCAAGAAAATACAGCAAATAAGAAAACTAAACGTTGCGAGGCGAAACTAATCAGACTTCTTACCCTGCCTTGTATACAATGAAGACAAGAGGATTGTGTCGTGGGGCCTAAATTCCTTAGTTTTTCCCATATTGAAAATAAAACTTAGAGAATGATTTCATAAATTCCATCAATCATCCTAGTTTATTTAAGGGGGAGGGGGATTCTTCATATGATTAAAACTGAAATTATTCTTCCGTTACTGTTAAAACCGAAATTATTTTTGTAGAAGATGTTTTCTTTTATTCAATAAACTTCTTTTTAAGATTATATTTTCAATCCTTATTACACTACATCATAAATTTTAACTTCTATTGTATTTAATTAATTTGGTGACACTTTTAATATCTTATGTTTCTTCTGGTTGTAAATGCTAGCGCTCTGACAGTTGATACCGAAGGCTTAAGTTTCGAATCCCGGAGGTGGCATGAATGTTTATTGGTGGCTTGGAATACTCTTTAAACTGTAGATCCCGCTCTATTTCGACTGAAGTGTGCACAAGATGACAGTAGAGCACAAAACAAAATCTGGTTGTGTTCCCTTTTTAATGCTTGAAAGACAGTAAAGAAAGATAGAAAGATATTTTATTATACGCTTCTAAACATGCACTTTCAAAATTTCTTTGGAAAGTGCATTTCATTGAAAATTGCATTGAAACTTCGATAACGTTCATAAGTTCATAAGTTATTTTTTTCTTCTCTGAAGCTAAACATAGCCATTGTTTACTGAAGAATTTCATATTTTTTCCTGTTGAACAACTTCAATTGGTT